CTTTACTCCGTTTTATTTTTTTTAAGTGTCTTTATTTGAGACAGAGAGAGATGAGTGGGGGAGGGGCAGAGAGAAAGAGAATCCCAAGGAAGCTCCGTGCTGCCAGTGCAGAGTCCGATGCAGGGCTCGAACTCACGAAACCGTGAGATCATGACCTGAGCCGAAACCAAGAGTCGGTCGCTGAGCCGACTGGACTCCCCTCTTTTCTACATTTTAGATGGAATACTCAGGCAAGGCATCACTGTGCTGAAAAGAGATGTGGAGGAAGGAAGAAGACAAACTGCAGATACTGGGGCAAGAGTTTTCCAGGTAGAGGCAACAGCCAAGAGCAAAGCCTGGCTTAGACAGTGTCCCTGGGTGTTCAAGGAACAGTGAGGAGGCCAGATAATTGAAGCAGAGTCAGAAAAAAGGAGAGCAATAATTGTTGAGATCAGAAAAATTGGGGATGGGGGAAGGGGCCAGACCATATTGGGCTTTGAATGCCACTGTAAGGGGTTTTGGCTTTTATTCCCAGTGAAATAGAAAGCCACTGGAGAGTTTGAAGCAGAGGAGTAGCATGACATATTTTAAAAGGATCACTCTGGCTGTGGGTTGGGGACAGACTGACAGAGGGACAAGGATCCAAAAGGCAGGCCAGTAGGAAGCAATGCAATTCTCCTGCCAAAGATGATGATGAGCTGTGGGCCAGGGGGGTCACAGGGAAGGTGGTGAGAAGGGCCTGGATTCTGGGTACAGCTTAAAGAGCATAGCTGCCCATCTGCTGATGGCTTAAATGTGAATTAGAGAGAGAGAGAGAGAAGGCAAAGATGACTACTAGATTTGAGGCTCAAGCAGCTGAAAGGATGGGGCTGCCCTTCAGAGAAATGGGGGAGGTGGTGGAACACTTTTGAAGGAGTTTAGAGTTCGGTTCTTGGACGTGTTGCGCTTAAATGTTTATTAGTTAAATGGAGATGTCAAGTAAGCAGTAGATGTATTATTAGTCTCGAGTCCAGGGGACAGAGCGGAACCTGAGAGACAGAAAGATGGATGTCATCGTCCATGGTATTTAAATACCATCGGGGGGCGCCTGGGTGGCGCAGTCGGTTAAGCGTCCGACTTCAGCCAGGTCACGATCTCACGGTCCGTGAGTTCGAGCCCCGCGTCAGGCTCTGGGCTGATGGCTCAGAGCCTGGAGCCTGTTTCCGATTCTGTGTCTCCCTCTCTCTCTGCCCCTCCCCCGTTCATGCTCTGTCTCTCTCTGTCCCAAAAATAAATAAACGTTGAAAAAAAAATTAAAAAAAAAACAAAAAACCATCGGATGGTATTTTTTTTTTTAATTTTTTTTTCCATGTTTTTATTTTATTTTTTGGGACAGAGAGAGACAGAGCATGAACGGGGGAGGGGCAGAGAGAGAGGGAGACACAGAATTGGAAACAGGCTCCAGGCTCTGAGCCATCAGCCCAGAGCCCGACGCGGGGCTCGAACTCACGGACCGCGAGATCGTGACCTGGCTGAAGTCGGACGCTTAACCGACTGCGCCACCCAGGCGCCCCAGTCATCGGATGGTATTTAAATGATGCAACTAAATGAGATCAACAGGGAAGTGGGCATAGAGAAGCGAAGGAATTTGAGGACTGAGCCTAGGATGTGCTAATGTTAAAAGAGTTTAGGGAGATGAGAAGAAACAAGCAAAAGGAACTGAGGAAGAAACCAGTGAGGTCAGAGCAGGGGAAGTGTGATGACCTGGAAGTCAAGGAAGGAAGCGTCTCAGGAAGGAGGGAGTCATCTATGGTTTCAAATGCCACTGGCGTGGATTTGATGGAGAACAGAAGGAAAGGAACTGGAGGCAACGAATACAGACAACTCTTTCCAAGAAATGTTTGCTTATTTGCGTTGTGGTGGGAAACAGTGGGTGCAAGAGGGGGTTTCAACAGAAACAACATGTCTGTACGCTGATGGGAACGAGCCAACAGGGAGGGATGAGCTGGCGTTCTGGATGGAAGGACTGCCGAGCAGAGGCTGGAGTGGGTGCGAGAGGACGGGATCCGGTGCCGAGTGCAAGGTGACTCAGGGCGCCAGCGGTTCTCCTGTGGTCGGGGGGGGGGGGGGGGGAAGGAGACAAGAATATGGGTAGACGTGCTCCGCGAGTTCTTACCATTGCTTCAGTTTTCCACGCTGAGAGTTGGGAGGAAGTGTTGAAGGTTTGAGGAGAGATGAGAGGTTTCTAGGCTTGGGATAAGCACCCACTTGAAGTTTGCAGTCATGACTTTAAAGCAAGACTAGTCCGAGGGCGCCAGGTGGCTCAGTCAGTTAAGCGTCTGACTTTGGCTCAGGTCATGATCTGACAGTTCATGGGTTCGAGCCCCACGTAGGGCTCTGTGCTGACAGCTCAGAGCCTGGAGCCTGCTTGGGATTCTCTGTCTCCCTCTCTCTCTGCGCCTCCCCCGCTCGTTCCCATGCCTCTCTAAGTAAATAAATAAACATTTAAAAGAAGAATCATGTTGGTAGTTGTAAAGTCGTCCGGTTTTTCTACAGAATACGTGTTCTCATTTTATTTTACCCACATATGTGTTTTGTAAGTGGAAAAACATAGTTGTGACATTTATAAACTTTGATGCCAGGCTGATGGTGTTTTGAACACCAGCTTTACGAGCAGCGGCTTCCTCCTATTTTGGTCAGTGTAGAGAAAAAACCCTCTTGCTTTAATATTACCAGGCCTCCTTCTTACCTATCTGGACTGTAAACTTCGTGTTCAGATGTCTCGATTCAAAAACATGTCTTAGATAAGTACAGACCATCCTAAAGGATGCCTAGCGTAGGAGGTAGGGACTGGCTTTGTGTCGCAGCTCATCGCTTTAGACGCACCTGAATGACATCACACTTCCCAAGGGTCCCTACCTAAAGCTCAGATGTTGTTCTCCAAAGCCATTGTGTCAAAACAGCAGCAAAGCAACACAAAACAGACCCTTTTAAGAAATCCATACCGTCCCTGTGTCCCTTCTGAAGTCAACATGCAATGATTGCTTCTGACGTATTCGAACACGATGAAGATAGTTGTTTACATTTTGCACACCGCTCACACTCGAGAGACTTTGGTGATCCTATGGCTCCAGAAAACCGGAACACAACGCTATCACAGATTCTGACTCAATTTAAGTCCTTGTCGGGCTCCCACGAGGATCTCAGCACTCTGCCAAGCCCTGGGATGGGAGGGAAGGGAAAAAAGAGCTCCCGCTTTCAAAACGCGTATTTGTGAGGAAAAGCCTTACATTCATGGCATTATATGAGGGGGAATACATGTATGCACATATATTCATCCCGGGGCTAAATGCATCTATTTAAATATTTTTTTAAAGTTTATTTATTTAGAGAGTGCGAGCAGGGGAGGGGCAGAGAGAGGGAGACAGAGAATCCCAAGCAGGCTCTGCACTCTCAGCACAGAGCCTGAGGTGGGGCTCGATCTCATGAACTGTGAGACCATGACCTGAGCCGAAATGAAGTCAGAGGCTTAACCGACTGAGCCACCCAGGCGCCCCTATCTTTAAATAATTTTAAATAAAAAAGAACAGGTAAAAACGAGGCATTTTTGCAAATATTTTCTCAACCCTCACTCCTGCTCTAGGAGAGTGTCCCTCCCCTTTTACAGGTAAGAAAACCTGGGCTCATGGAGGTGAAATCACTTGCCCAAGATCACTCAGCTCAAAAGTGGGAGTCCGTGAAATCAACTTCCGTTCCAAAGCCAGAGCACCTGCCACGTCAGTGGAAGTGCCAGGATCCTCAGGAAGGGTGGGCGCAGTGACTGCTGGGAGGGGGGTGCGCGGGAATTAGCTTTTGAAAACGGAGTCATTAGATCACAGGTCAGATGTCACATTTACGGGCGTCTGGGGCAGCCCTTCCTGGTGGCCCAGGCGGCAGACTGCCCTTCCCTGCTCTGCACTCAAGACTCACCTCCTCCTGCAACATCTGTGACGATTCCTCATCAAGGACACTTCTGCAGGGAAAATTTGGGTCAGCTGCTACCTTCTAAAGGCAAATCAACCCCATGAAGCCCAGTTCCCGAGAGAGCCTGACGACCGGGGGATAAAAGACCGGAAGAAGCGAGCCGACGGCAGTGGCCTTTTGGTCTTTTCCTTCTCTGCGGACGTGGGGTGTAGCAGACGTGTGGGTACAGAGTCTGTAACAAGGGCATTTCTTCAAAGACCATGAGCTGAGGTGCGGACGGGGTCACACGCTGAGCTGATCTGGGATCAGAAGGTAACTCAGTTGGCATCCTCCTAGGAACGAACTTCTCCAGCCAGATCGGGCCGCTGAGCTCAGGTCATCGCAATTCACCCTGGAGGAACCAGAGTGTCACCTAGAGAGTGCGACGGCTCCAGGAATGGAGACTCCTCTCCTGTTCCTGTGAGACACGGCTTGTCGCTGGGGCAGAACTTGGGGGGTTCCTTGGCTCTGCAGTGGAGTCCTTGAAGCCGGACGGGCCAAGGCTCAGATTCTGGCTCTGTGCCCCTGGGGAAGCTACCGAATTTCTCCACTGCTCAGTTTCCCCATTCATCCCACGGGGATCACAGCACTTGGCACAGTTACTGTGGTTAGCAAATAAGAGAACATAAAAGGACATCCAAGGGGGGGGCCGGCACTAAGTGGGCGGCCGCTGTTACCTTTGTCCTCACTCTCAAGCCCCCAGGGTCTATGCCACGTGCATATCTAAGTACCTGGTCCGCCCCTGCTTTGTCCCTGTCCCTTTCCTGTTCTCTAGAAGGTAAGCACTCTGGGAAGGAAGCTCCGCGTGGGTCAGTGATGCCAAACAGCGCTGGGGGGGCGGGGGGAGGGGCTCCGTGGGCGTTGCACCTGTTACAGGGGAGGCAGAACGGGACAGGGCCCAGCTGCGCTACCTGGGGATACACCGTCCACCTCTCTTTCACCTCAGCTTTCACCTAGGGGTCAGCGCGACTGCTCTGGATTTTGAAGCGCTATCTGCCTCCCGACAGGCGGGGCCGGGGGAGGGGGGTGGGGGTGGGGTGGCAGCAAACGTGCTGGACCCACGTGTGACCCGTGCAGTACATTTACTGGCGCTTGTATCTTAGGTTCGTCGGGGCGGTGAATCTAAATTCCTGGAGTCCTCTGAGTGCAAGGCCATGGCTCGGAAAAGCACGACAGACCACGACAATAACCTACTTTACGGAGGAGACCTAGGCTCCGAGGTGAGCAGGCGCAGGGTCACCGTGGCCCCCAGGTACTTGAGAGCGCTCTGGCTCGGTGGGGAGTGGGGGGGGGGGGCGGAGCATAAATGCTGATCCCCACGGGGACCCCTGAAACTGCAGGAAACATTGCTTTTCGGGCGTTCAACTGCCTTCATCCACTGCTTCGGGGCAGGTGTGGCTGAGACACCGCTTTGTCACCCACCGTGGGAAACAGACTAACCTGGTCTTTCACGGACCCCGCCCCCCCTCCAAAACTTGTCCTCATTCCCAGCCAGGCCATAAGCTCCCTGCAGGCAGGTCCTTCTTCTCCCCTCCGCCACCGTGCGCCTGGTGCCCGGGACTGTGCTGGCCAGCCCTTAGAAGAGGCGCTGACACCGCGGGGCAGCCAGCCCCTGTGGGGCGTGTGAGAATTCTGGACCCACTGCCTGACCCCTTCCCCTGATGGTGTTTAGCGGTCGTTGTTTATCCAAAAATTCAAACTTAACTGGGCAACTTGCATTTTCCTTTGCAAACTCTGACGAGCCCGTGACAGCCTCTGTAGGGTGTCCCGTCCTGTCTCTGGTCTGGTCTCTGGCCCAAGACAGCTGCTCTATGAAGGTGTATAAAGAACTATTAGGACTCCCATGTACATGAAAGCGAAGCTCTATTGAAACTGATGTTTGGGGGAGGGACAGCACCCTCTGCTGAATGCCCAGTGGTCATGGGTCCATCACGAGACCTTCCCGGGGGAGGGGTGGGAGCCACACACTGGGGGAAGTCCTGGCGCTTCTTCGCTCACTTGCAGCAAATGCCAGTATGTGTGTGGGTTAAGTGGATTTACACGGTGTGTTATCTGCTCTTAATGAATGTAACCCTCCAAAGGGACAAGCAGCCTAACGGCATTTCTGCCAAGAAACCTGATTGAAGTCATTTCTAATCATGCAAATGTGCATCAACAGCGAAAATTGGCAAAGCTTGCTGATTGGAAATACCTCCGTCCAATATTATTCATAGTGCCTCTTGACCTTAGAGTTTTGGGGGATGTAAGATATTGATTAAAAATATTATATATAATTTCTTCACATATATGGGGTGTCAGAAACCTATACTGACAAGGGTACGTGGCAAATTTGACCCCACTGGTTTATTCCGTGAGCGTGGGCCTTGGTTCCCAGGGGCTGCGGTCACTGTGCTCTCACACCTACTGAGAAAGGAAGATTCCACACCTCTGAAGCCTCTCCTAGCCCCCCTCCCCGTTTACTTCCTCCATCAGCAACATTAGGGATCAGGTCTGACTGGGGGATGCGGCAGGGGATGTGTGGTGGGGAGATCTGAGTCCGGATTCCAGTTCTGCCTTTTCCTAGCCGTGTGACCCGGGTCCGTCCTTTTGTGTCTCAGGCTTTTCAGCGGACAAGCTTACTGGGTGGTGTGGCCGAGAATCTGCAGATCATTAGTTTCTAGCCCCAAGTTCCTGGAACAGAGTAGGCGTTCAGGGAACAGTTGACTCTGAATCTTTAAGCCCTCGACAGGCCTAGTCCTACTCTCTTGAGGGCAGGGTTTGCCCAGCCCGGGGGAGAATGGGAACACCCTGGTGTATACCCCAGCAGAAGGCAGGCTTGGGGGAGTGCAGGGGGGAAGTTAGGAGAGGCGAAGTGAAACTGTCTGGGCTGGCCAGAGAACAGCTGGGACGCAGAGCCCTCGGCCGCGATGACAGAAAGCTGGGGTGCAAGGGGAGAAGCCGGCACCGCTGCGCTCTGAGAAGACCTGACTCACAATGAAAGCGTAGAGGGCGTCTCCCTCTTGCCAGGATGGATGGTTCCGTCAGCCTGGGCAAAGGAGTCAGGAAGGTTGTCCTTTAGAATGTGGAGTGGTTCTCTTTAGGTGCTGGGGTCTGGAGGCTTCTTTTTCTTTTCTTTTTTCTTTTCTTTTCTCTTTTCTTTTCTCTTCTCTTCTCTTAAAAAATCCTATGTGTTTAAATAACATTCAGTGTGCCTTTCCTCCCAGAGAAGAGAGATTTACCAAGAAAAGTGATGAAGCCAGGGAGATGATTTCCAATCCGGATTTGGAACAAGTCCGTTCTAGCAGGGCGGGCCCTACGGTACCCCCAGCCGCTCCCTCTCCTCCAGTGGAGGGACCACAAGGGCTAAGGGGGCTTTTACATCACTCCAGGAAGGTTCCCATCAAGTCCTTGGGGTTGGTCTTCGAAGATGGTCTTGGAACATCTCTGTTCTTTCTTTCCTGTTTTTCTTTTCTCACAACCACCGTTGAGTGTTGGCTATCCTCACTAATGTAATTAGAGCAATTTCTGGTTTTCAAGTCCGGTCTCTGATATATGTACACGTTTGATCTTTAATTCGTGCCATTCTGCAGAGCATTTATGGTAGTCGAGTGTATCAGAATTTTTTTAAAAAATCAGGCTTTGATGTTTGTTATTAAATCTGGATGAATGAAAAGTCCAGGACTCTGTGCCTTTAAATCTAAAAAGATTTGAGCTCCAGAGAACCATGAGATATTTGGGTTTTCAGAACTCGGCCTGGGACGCTACAGTTTTATGGCCTTTTGCACGGATTTAACTGCGCCGCATCCCGTCTCCTGTGCAGGGTGCTTATGTTTCACATTAATGGACACTATTTTCAAAGTGTGCCTCCAGGGGATCTCGGTGAATTTCAAACTCTAACAGAAGAAACCTAACCTGACTGCTTTTCACAGCCCAGTGCAGAGTAGCAAAGAAGTGCATGTTCAAGGCTCTCCACCAACCCCAAAGCACCGCTGAGGACTTCCAAGGCTTTTCTGAGCAGTTTGAAAGCATCAGCGATGCGATCCTTCGAATCCACGTATGGAAAATGTACTGAGGGGCCATCTTTGAGTTCTTCCACTTCATAGGGTCCTTGTGGGTGTCGTCTCTCCAAGCCTGCCCTTAAACACGTACTCTGGTCCCCCTACCCACATAGTCTGTGGGCTGTGCCTTTGGTCCGGTCAGGTTCCTTACTTGCGGTCTGTCCCGGCAGCGTGGGGCAGGGGCTGGGGGCAGCACGCACGGGGTGCCTGTCCTTGCCAGCTGGGTGCTCCACATACACATGACCTCATCCTCAGATGAGAAAACAAACCTACACTGTCCAATGGTGTAGCCACTAGCCACCTGTGCCTACATAAGTTTATTTTGTACATGTTTGTTTATTTTGAGAGAGAGAGAGAGAGAGAGAGAGAGGGTGGGTTGGGGGAGGGGCAGAGAGGGAGAGAGAGAATCCCAAGCAGGCTCCACACTGTCAGCACAGAGCCCTACAGGGGGCTCGATCTCACAAACCATGAGATCGTGGCCTGAGCCAAAAATCAAGAGTCAGACACTTAACTGACCAAGCCACCTAGACGTCCTGTGGCTACTTAAATTTTAATTCATTAAAATTAAATAAAGTTCACTTACTCAGTTGCACTAGCCACGTTTCAAATACTCAGTAGCTGTGTGGGGCTCGTGGCCACCATGTTGGATGAGGCAGACCTAGAATGTGCCTATCATTCTATAAACTTCTATTAGTGCTGGAACAGAGGTTAAGTGACTTGTTTAAGGTCAAACAGCCAATGAAGAATAGGATCCAGGAGGGGCGCCTGGGTGGCTCATTTGGTGAAGCGTCCGACTCTTGATTTCGGCTCAGCTCCTGATCTTGAGGTTCATGAGATTGAGCCCTATGTTGGGCTCTGCCCTGACGGTGCAGTGCCTGCTTGGGATTTTCTCTCTCTCCCTCTGCCCCTCCCTCACTCTTGCTCTCTCTCAAAAAAAAAAAAGAAAAGAAAAGAAAAAAAAAGAGTAGAATGTAGGAGGGCAAAGAGTGAGAAAGACTAACCCTTGTGGTATTTTATTTCCAGTTATTCCTGAGCCAACTCCAGGATGGTTTTTCTTCGGTTCCCTATTTTTTAAATACTGACCAAAAAATGAAAATTAAAAAGACTCTCTACTCTGTGAGCCAAGCACTGCTCTAAGGGCATATCACTGAACAAAGCCATCAATTCCTGACTCCATGGAATGTATTTGTTGGTTTGCAGTCACCAAGGGAGCTTCCCAGGTGAAATCAGAAACCAGCCCGTGCGTTCAGAAGGCAGGGAAAGATGAGAAGAGAGGCCAGCCACCCTGGGCTGGTAGGTGGCAGGTTTCGTGAGCAAAGGGAACTTGCACACAAGGCTTGTCTTGGGTGGCAGCAAGACAAATGGATCCTTGCAACTACTTGCCACATCTTCAAAAGTTTATAAGGGGCCTTACCTGGGCTTGGTGACGTCTGCCATGCGGGTCTTTTCAAAACCACAACACCGTCTCAAGGCTTTGTCCTCGGAGCAGCCTCTGGGAGTGGGAAGACAAACAGAACCCACATTCCAAGCATGAGGGAAGGAGGTGAGGAGCCTCTGATTGTGCCGGGGCCAGCTCACGGGCAACGGCGGTCACATCTCGTTGATGACTTTCCCCGACACTCCACTCCTCGTGACGAGTTCTTACAATCTCGTAAGCCCCACTCTTTCGCAATGGACTCCGAGTGGTCAGCAAGGGATCTCACTAGCGTGGGGTGGCTCCTGTGGCAGTTATCTGGTGCACTGGAGGCAGATGACACAGCAACAATACAGGTACATGCAAGGGAAATCACAGATGAACACGATGACTCCCCCAAATCAGTGACAAATTTTTCTACAGGAGTCTATAAGCTGAATCCCTGATTTACCAAGTCCCCTAAGCTGGAAGTCGGATCATTCAGGGTGTTCACTTGTGTCATGTGATTTAGTAAAGATGACACCTTCGGGGCGCCTAGGTGGTCAGTTGGTTAAGCATCCAACTTCGTTCAGCTCGGGTCATGATCTCGCAGTTCGTGAGTTTGATCTGTGTGTTGGGCTCTGTGCTGACAGCTTGGAGCCTGGAGCCTGCTTCAGATTCTGTGTCTCCCTCTCTCTCTGCTCCACCCCTGCTCCTACTCTCTCTCTCAAAAATAAACATTTAAAAAAATAAAGATGACACCTTAGCAGACTCATCAGGTATGAACACACAACATTCTGCCCGAATAATGTAGTCATTTCAGTGTTTGGTAAGGACAGGCTTTGTTGGTTATTATTTAAGACTTGATAGGTCACTTTAATAAGGGCTTCTCTATGTGTTCCCAACAGGACTATGGAGGGATCAAAGATGGTGGCCAAGTGATCATATCAGGCAAAGACAGAACATTCCCACCTGGCCTTGAGGAGAGGGAGGTTGGCAACTTTAGAAACGTAACCTGGTTGTACCTACCATAAGTGCTGGCCAGGGAAGGCAGCACTGCCAGAGGGGAGGAGATGAACTTGGGGTGAGATAGTCCAGACCAGGACCCCTCCCTTCTCTCTTCTTTTGATGGTGCATGTTCCATCAGAGAGGGTACGTTTCAATAGATCTTGAGAGCAGATCCCATTGGAGACTGAGTACTCCCCCATCACCCAGCAGTCCCAAGTAATTCGTCCATCCTGGTGGGACATCCCATTCCAGTAGATAACTCCTTCCCCAGGTGTGACGGGGCTTGGTGTTCTCGGCAGCATAGCACATTCATACATGGTAAGAGTTGCGTAATGGCTTCCATACCTTTACAGTGTTGTGTGCCTCCATGGGGTCTCTGGTCTGGCATATGGGACAAAAGGCCCTACTGGTTGACCATTTGAGTGTATTAAGACTGGGACAGAACCTTAATCCACCTGACCATCGTTAGTAATTTGATCTTCTTTTAATATTCCATTGTTTCTCTCTACCAACCCTGCCGCCTGTGTGTCATAGGGGAGACAGAACCGCTGTTCAATGTCAGGTTCTATTGCCCAGTCTTCCAAGTCACGACTTTTGAAATGTGACCCCCAATGGCTGTCTAGTTGATGAGGGTATCTACCCATGGTCGTTAGTTTTTCTCCCCTAAGGGCGGCAGCTTGGTTGGCATGGCTCCAGGGGAAAGCTTGGCTTAGGCCACGCGCAGTGTCCACACAAGCCAAGGCATCTTCGGAGCCCTCCCGCAGAAGGAGGGGGCCCATATAACCAGTTTGTTGATCCCTCATCAGCTGGGAACTCTGCTGGATGGCCCCAGATTATTTTGGTAGTTGCCTTGGGCATTATTGAAAACAGGCGGGACGTGCTTCTACTGCATTAACCATGTCACAGAACTTCAAGGGCAACCTGACATCCTTGCCAACACGCCACCTTACCGGGCCATGTGGTGGCCACTCCTTCTGTGCACCCAATCTGCTGCATCTACTGAAGAGTCAGCAGATGGGGTTCTTACCGAGTTAGGGCATCAGCTTCCTAATTGCCAGGGGATGTCAACGCCTCATGAGCTGAGACATGGGGAACAGTGAGGACTGCCTCAGGCTCTTGCAGATGCCCCCAGATGTCTTTCTACGTAGCCTGACCCCATAGGCTCATTCACGGTCATCCATCCTGTGCACTGTCAGAGCCATCAGTGCAAAGAGTGGATGGCCAGGGCTCATGATAATCACCAGCCAGGCCGCTCTGAGCCCAGCCTACTGGCTGCTGTGTGAGAGGCTCTACCCGGAGGAGTGCTGTGTGCACTGCCAGGAGCTGGTCCTCTGTGGGGGTACGTGGGTCTCTGTCCCCTTTCAGAGCGGAGACCAAGATCCTAGGGGTGCTTTCTCCTTCTATGTTTTTCTCTGCCCCAGTGGCCAGCCCACACCTTCTGGAGTCACAGACCCATGTAACTCAGCGACAGCCCTGCTTGGGAGATGCCCAGAGCTTTGATCCGCTTCACTGGTATTTTTGCTTTCTCAAAGATGGCTTGTTGCTCTGATGCCCCGTCCCATACGTGCCCTCTCTTTCCCAGGGAGCATAAGGATCAGAGGCGCTGTGCTAAGTGGGGATCAAAAGTCCTCCAAATTCCAAAATCCCTACAAAGACATGCACCTCTTTCACATTCTTAGGGATTGAATACGCTTGTACCTTACCGATCACAGCTTGTGGAACAACCCAAGTCTCACCTGACCAGACAACTCCCAGAATGTTATGGCAGTGCCTGGGCCTTGAATTTTCTGTGGTTTCACTCTTCATCTTTTTTTTTTTCTCACAGATGCTCCAACAGGGGCCCCTGGCTGGCTCAGTCAGATAGCATTTGACTCTTGTTCTTGGGGTTGTGGCCTTGAACCCCATGTCGGGTGTAGAGATTACTAACAAACAACAGCACAAAACGAATGCTCCAGCAAAGCCTGCTAGGTGTCCCACAGCTGAGGCAAATCCTTACATGTCTTTACATCATCCATGTAATGGGCTCACTTTACTGGTGGGGAAGGAGAATAGGGACAGGTCTCAGGCTGTGCAGGTGGCCTTGGGAGAGCACTTAAAGGGTTTATTATTGGGTCGCCTGGGTGGCTCAGTCAGTTAAGCGTCAGACTTCTGCTCAGGTCATGATCTCACAGCTCATGAGTTCGAGCCCCGTATTGGGCTCTGTGCTGACAGCTCAGAGCCTGGAGCCTGCTTCAGCTTCTGTGTCTCTCTCTCTCTCTCTCTCTCTCTCTCTCTCTCTCTCTCTGCCCCTCCCCTGCTCGTACTCTGTCTCTGTCTCTCAAAAATGAATAAAAAGTTAAAAAAAAATTTTTAAGGTTTATTATTATCCCTCCCACATGAGGCAAACTGATCTTAGTTATCAGAAACCTGTCAGAGTATTTTTTTATTGCATTTCCTTGAAGACGAAGCACTTTGACAGGAATACTTTCCCCCCGCAAAGCATCAGAGTAAAATAGCAACTGTCTGCAAATGACAAAAGACTTTAAAATGGCTGTGGTTGGGGCACCTGGGTGGCTTAGTCACTTAAGTGTCCAACTCTTGATTTCGGCTCAGATCATCTCAGGGTCATGAGATTGAGCCCCACATTGGGCTCCACACTGAGGTTGGGGCCTTCTTAGGATTTTCTCTTGCTCTCTTTCCCTCTCGATGCTCTCTCACTTGCTCTCTCTCTTAGAAGAAAATGAAAATAAAATTTAAAACAATCTTGAAAATCAATGGATTATATCATATGTCAGGAGATGATAAATGTAATGGAAAGGAAAAATTGTAAATAATGAGACCGGGTCAGGAGGATTGGAAATAGCAGAGGAAACAGCTGGTAAGTTGTAGTTTTAAATAGGAGATCTGGTGTGGCCTCTGTAGGAAGGTTCAGTTGAGTAAAGACTTGAAGCCTATGAGGAAGTTAGGTGTGCAGACATCTAGTCAGAGGGAATGCAGGGGCCTCAAAGTCAGAGTGTGTGCCTGGAGTATTCGGGGGAGGGCAATCAGGCCAGGGCAGCCTGGTTGGAGTAGAGTGAATTGGGGACATTCATAAAAGGTGAAGTCTGTGGCTGGGGCACCTGGGTGGCTTGAAGCCATGAAGAGATCATGGGGGACTTTGTAAGAACTCTGACTTTGACTTTGAGCTGGGAGGCCGTGGAAGGAGGCACGATCTGCCTAATAGTTTAATGGGGTCATTCTGGCTGCTTTGTGAGAAGGCTGGCTGGGAGGAAGGAACAGAATCACCTCAGAGGCTGTGTAGCCATTCAGGGAAAAGGCAATGGGGATCCGGACAATTAGCATTTGGTGTGGCGAGAAATGCGGTCAGATTCTACAGTTACGTATTTGAAGGTGGAACCGGCAAAAGTTTCTGATGGATTTGATGTGGGGTTTTGAGAGCGACGAGTGAAGGATGACTCCAAGAGTTTTGGCCTGAGCAATTTTGGAGGAATGGAATTTCCACCAGCTCCTAGAAGAACAGATTCGGCAGGACTGAGAGGGGTGGGGTAGGGAAACTTAGAAATTCAAATTTTGCTGATTCGATATGCCTAATAGATATTTTTTTTAAGATTTTATTTTTAATCTCTACACCCAAGAGGTTTTAAGTAATCTCTACACCCAAGAGGTTTTAAGTAATCTCTACACCCAAGGTGAGGCTTGAACTCATAACCCCAAGATCAATAGTTGCATGCTCCACCAACTGAGCCAGCCAGGTGCCCCTGCCTAATAGACATTTAAGTGGAGAGATCAAGTGTGCAAATAAATATATGAATCTGGAGTTTAGGGGTAAGGTTTGGGCTGAAGGTATAAATCGGGGGTGGGGGGCAGTTATCAGCATAGATGTGGCATTTAGAGCCATGACGCTAGCTGAGACCAGAAGAATGAGTAGGTCATGAGGAGACCATAAATCGAGCCCAGACACACTTCAATCTTAAGAGATCGAGGCTATCTGGTTAATTTTATGTGTCAACTTGACTGGACCCAAGAGTCCCCAGATTAAACATTATTTGTGGGTGTGATGCGAGGGGATCTTCAGACGAGATTAGCCTTTGGCTCAGCGGACTCAGTAAAGTGGGCTGCCCTCCCCGGTGCGTGTGGGCGTCATCCAATCCATTTAAGGCCTGAATAGAGCAAAAAGCTGGAGGTAGGAGGAATTCACCCCTTTTGCTTCCTGCTTGCCTGCTTGAGTGTGGATATCTGTCTTCCCTCCTGCTGCACTGGGATATATGCCATCAACTCCCGCCGCCCCCCCCCCCCCCCAACTCTCAGGCCTTTGGACCCGGACCAAACGACACCACCAGCTGTCCTGGGTCTCCAGCTCGCAGAAGGCAGATCGTGGGACTTCTCAGCTTCTACAATTGGCATGAGCCAATTTCTCATTCTAAATCTCTTTTCCTACCAGCGTCTGTACCTCCTGCTGGTTCTGTTTCGTGACTAATACAGGGCAAAGGGAGGAACCAGCAAAAAAGGTCAAGAAGGAGCAATCAGTGATGTAGGGAGAGTCTAATGTCCTGGAAGCTAAGCGAAGAGTTTCCTTCTTCCCTCTGTGCCTCCTTCGTCCATGCCCTTCTTCTATCCCAGAGGCAGGAGTTGAGAGAAGGAAAGAACAGGAGTCTTGGGCAGGTCTGTGCAAGCAGGATTTGCCTCCCCTGTCTCCCCACCCAAAGGTGTCTCCTCACATTCCGCTTTTCACTCAAAAACCCGGCAGCCGCAGGTGCTCAGAGGGGTGAATGAGTTCATGCATTCCTACTTCTGGGCTTTCTGTCAGTGGGGTGCAGGGCTGATATCTAGTTGTCACGGTCTGAATTGCGTGCCCCACACCGAATTCATATGTCAAAGCTCTAACCACTGGGACCTCAATGTGACCACCTTTGGAGATAGATAGGGCCTTTACAGAGGTAACTGCGTTAAATTTGGGTCATTGGGGGTGCACCCTATCCAATTTGACTGTTGTTCTTATAAAAGAGGAGATTAGGACACACACATACAGAGGAGAAGGAAGACGGTGTTTAGATACAAGGAGAAGGCAGCATCTACAAGGTCCACTGACACGCTGATCTCAGACTTCTGGCCTCCGGAACCGTGAGAGAAAAAATCCTGTTGTTTTAGCCCCTCCATCCATGGCCCTTAGTTATGGTGGACTGAGCTGACGAATACACCTTTGGAGAGACATCACACCCGTTCCTCCACAGGCGTGGCATGCATAGCCTGGATGAGGATCGACTCTCAGAGGGGAAGAAAAGTTAAATTCTTGATCTTACTTTCCAAAGCACACTCTTTGTACCCCTCCCCGACCCCGTTTGTGTGTGTGCTCACACGCTCTCTCTCTCTCTCTCTCTTTCTCAAAAATAAACATTTAAAAAATTTTAATGTTTATTTTTGAGAAAGAGAGAGAAAGAGAGAGAGAGAGCAGGATAGGGACAGAGAGAGAGGGAGACACAGAATCTGAAGCAGGCTCCAGGTTTGTCAGCACAGAGCCCAACACGGGGCTTGAACTCACAAACTGTGAGACCATGATCTGAGCCAAAGTTGGACGCTTAATCAACTGAGCCACCCAGGTGCCCCTATACAAACATTTTTTTTTTTAATTAAAAAAAATAAAGTCAAGGTTTTGACTTTTAAGAGCTGGCACTCTTGGAAATCCAAAGGCTGAGCCCTGGTCTCATGAACAGTATTTGAGAAGATAAATAAAGGGCTCGACTGTCGCACCCCTGCTGGCTGCATAAAGCCGGGGGGGAAGCAAGGGGAAAGGGGAGCAAGAGAGAGCATAGATTCTAGAGCATTTCTGTCAGGGCTTTGTGTCCCACACGATTTGGGGCATGACAAGGCAGAGCGACTTGTTCTTGTGTCCAGGTAAATCCTGTGTAGGTGGCGAAGGTCCAAGAGAAGTGGCCCTGCACCCACAGAAGAGCGAAAGGGAAACTGAGGTCGATCTAGGAGAAAGGGCCTGAGCACCCTGGGTTTCCGGGGGTGCAGGAGAGCTCCTGATGGGACAAGAACAGGCTAGAAGCAGGCCACCTGATGGGGCTGGCCGTCAGAACGTGGAGGACACTGGGACTGGAACTGGATACGGAGACATGCGTGTGGGCAGCAAATTCTGGACCCTGCGCTGATGACTAAAAGCAGCTGTGATAGGAAACCCTGGCTGGATTCCTCTTCCTCCGTGCCCCCGTGCCCACACCCTGGCTCTCTCGAGCACAGGTGCCAGCCGGAGGAGGAAGAGGGAAAACCCGAGTTGACTGAAGACCTGCTAGTGGGACAGAGTCCAAGCTGAATGGGCAAGACGGGGTATTCTACCATTAGGTACGATGGCACCGCGAGAGGGCAATGAAGTTCGGTTACTGAAAATTAGTGGCATAAGATTTGCTCCCCTGAGGCTGTGGTTTATGAAATCCATGCCCATGACAGCAAACAAGAGCCAGGGTGAAGACAGGGTGAGCTGGGGAAAGACGAAAAGACAGTTTGGGAAAGGCCACGAGCACCAGGAGATGGGATGCGGGGGAGAGGTGAATTCCACTGTTTGGCTGGTGTCATCCTGGGTGGCACCTCAAAACCAGGTGCAGGCCTCTCAGTCACGCAGGCACGCGCGCGCGCACACACACACACACACACACACACACACACACACACACCCTTAGCATCCGGCAATCACAGCTCCCAACCCAAAGGAATTATCTGATGGTTGGAATCCGTACTCTCCTCCTAAGCAAAGTATCCCACAAAGTTCAAGGTGGATGGTGTGTGTAAGATCACTTTATTTCCCAGGGCAAAGGTTATGTGGCACCCACTGGACCCCACGTGAAGCATTAGAAGCCGACTATGCATATGTTCAGCACAGGTTGCAGGAGCTGTCCCTCCTCTAGAAGTGCCGCTTTGTGTCATGGCTAATGGTAACCGTGCGACGTGCGGGGAATGACCCTGGACGCCACGACGGGGCGAGCTGTTCTGCCCAAACTCTCCTCTTTTAGCCAGGGAGGGCCTTTTACAGAAAGCCTTGTAGTTTTCACGATGAGACGACTATGCATTAGAGCTTTGGCCCCAACTCACCACCAAACT